TTCTGGAAGTTTTTTTCACCACACCACAGCCTCTTCATATAAAAAGTGTGCCTTATTTTTTGCTTCAGTCTTTATAGGAGCAGTCAATAAACAAAGTCTACTTCAACTTATCCTCACATAACTGGTTCCTTAACCTATAAGCAAAGCTAGGACTTGGTGCACCTGGTCTAGACCTCCTCAGTTCTTAACTCCCTCTTCTATTTATAAACCAAACAAGGAAACCCAAATGTTGTCAGAGACCTAGAAGAGGAATTAAAGCAAGCAAGAAGATGAAAACCTAAAAGATGGAATAAATCGCTGTCAACCCATATAGCAGAGCAGTAAGAGGCACAAACTCTGGAGGACAATTGAGCGAGGGGAAGCCCAGCTCTTCCATGCATGTGCTGTGTGATTTTGAGCAGATTGAATAAACTCTCTGTGCTTCAATTTCCTAATAAGGGACAAAGAACATCCCTTCAAATCGTTGAGACACGTTAAACAGTAGAGCAGATTTTGGTAAAGTTTTTCTATGAGGCACCAAAACATGCACAGGTTAGGATTTACAAGAGAGATGGTATGTCACTAAATCACTCAAAAGGACAAGCAGGTATAGACACTATGGGAACAAAGGGGCATGGTTATGTTCCAATAAAATATTGTTTGCAAAAACCAGCAGTGGGCTGGATTTGGCCCAGGGTTGTAGTGTGCTGACCTCTCCACAAGACCAATGTATGGCACCTGTGAAGTTCTAATATTATAATTGTTATTTTTTTTGGATAAATTTCCTTCTGGACAAGTAACTTCAACTTTTCATACATACATTAATTATGTTTCCACTATAACGAGAACACATTGTATCTATTCACATACATTAGAATCAATATAAAATGGGCTGTCATCTGAGACTCACTATTTCAGAAAATTTCTCACCATTCTTCATTTATGTTTGTAATCAGAAATAAAACCAGTAGAGTATTTTCTGAGAAAGCACAGCTTCCCCTATAATTTCAACCACTCTGAAGCACAGAACCTAAGTTTGAAAACCCCTGTAAGAGGCTATAATGGGAAATATAACAATAGCAACCTGACTGGTATGAATGATTTTGTTCACTTAAAAATCATTTATATTAAATGATACACTGTTAATTAACCATCGTATTAAATTAAAATCAGACAATACTGAATAAAGCCAAGTCGATACTAGCCTACTAAATATGGAAGAAATCACTTCCTTTCTTCCTTCCAGGATCACAGTCTACTATTATATTTCTGCTTGCAGTGCTAAAAAAGAAAATATCTAACTGGATGTGGTGGTACACACCTGCAATCTCAGTGACTTGGGAGGCTGAGACAGAATAGCTAGTTCAAGCCCAATCTGGGCAAATTAGTGAGTCCCCATTTCAAAAATAAAATGAAAAGGACTGGGGATAGCTTAGTAGGGGAGTGCTTGCCTAGCATGTATGAGTCTTTGGGTTCAACGCCCAGTACCACATACACACAAAGAAAATCCTAATCCTAAGAATTATTTAGATATTCTTGGCATGAATAGTATCAGCATGAATGCTACTACCCAGGAACAGCCTAGAAATGAGACCAATAGCTAGATATTCTGATTATAGTTAATGCTGCACTTCTAAATTCTAGGAACAATGAACGACTTAACCACTTCTGGAATTTTTCTCCAGTTGATAAAAATAAATATTTTTTTAATGAACTTAAAGAAGCCATCGCTGCTTCCTCTTTACATTAATTTTTGCAAGCAAATATTTTTTGGCCACATTCATTTAGAAGAAGTGGTTGCTCTCCTCTGCCTGCGTAGTCCTGAGTTTATTGGACCCTCCCAATGCCTGCCTTTAACTTTGGGGCCTGGGTTAGCAATAGCTGCTGCCACCCAGAATGAGACAGGAAACGCTGTTGCTCATTAGCTCTCCTACACTCACATGCTCCTCCGTACTCTCATTTCTGCCTTATCTGCTTAACCCCTATATCCTCCAGTTGCTTTAACTCTTTGTCATGAGTACCCTTGAACCAGCCACTTCTTACAGAGGAGCCCACCTGGTCTCAGGTTAACCTGACTGCTAATTGCTAGCCCTGTCCTGGCACTACATTCACCAATAGCAGGAAATAGCTCAAAATAAGTGAGTGGGGTCTTCTATCACCTTGGCCCATCTTCCCTTCTTTGGAGAAATATAAACTTTGGGGAGAGCCCCATTTTACCCCCATCCTTAGTGAAAGTCCTCATCTGTGCCCCACATTCAGGCTCAAATTGCAGGATAAGATTATCCTTTGGATGGATGCCCTGTTGGCAGTAAATGCCTGCAAAACACTATCTTGACAGTATTTGTACAATTTTCAAGCCTGGTCCTATATTTAGAGAAAGGTGGCAACTTATCCAATCTTTGGGAGTGTTGAGAGTTACTTGCTGCTTTCATGCCATTATTCTTCACTTCTAATCCTTTCACACATTTCATCAGCCTGTACTCACACGTGGATTTGCTTCTACATGGATGCAATTTCAAAATGTGTAGGTTCAGATCTAATTCTGGACAGTCTGGATAAATCCCACACATTTGCTGGCAAATTTGGCTCTTTTTTTTTTTTTTCAAATGGATCAGATGCTTTGTTTTTCCTCTAGCAAGTTAGATTCTGTTCATTTTTGTTCATTTGGGTGTGCATGTGGGGCAGGTGGGTGTTGGAAGCGGATGCCACTTGAGAAGCAGAAAATATTTAGAAAAGTATAATTTTAGAGATTAAGAGAAAATATCCTTTCTAAACAAGTTAGGTCTAAGCAAGTCAATCCTTGCTAACATAGCTGAATGTGAAGAGATGCTAAAATACCCAGCAGCTTCATTTTCCCCTGCCCTGCTTTCACAGGGAGGTGAATGGACTCTGTCTCCAGTGCTCAGAGTTCTCCCCTGGAATACCTGACAGCACATTGTCCCTTTGTCCTGATGGTAGATCACACCAAGTGAGTATCCAGTTCACAGAAGACTCACATTCCAGTACCCAGGGACACTTTCTAGACTCCAAGTCCTTCTCTAACCTAGCTGTCTATGGGCTGGATGTTATTGCTCAGGCAAGTTCTGATTGTTACCACATTCAGTGGGAAATGATGTATAACCATATTAGCTTTAACAGAACCACTCACTTGACCAATAGGTATGCCAGTTATCTTGTTAAATTATAGATTCTGGGTTCAGGTGTGGTGCCCAAGTTCTGCACTTCTAACCCTGGGTCTGTAGATAACATTTGGATAATAAGGATTTTTAAGTCACCCTACATACAGAAATATCATATATAGACATTAACAGGTTAAAAATCCTGGATATGCCTTCAAAATGCAGACTTCTCTGCTTTAAATACACACTCCGACTAGGTATCAGAGGACCTTGTAATGAGAATTCCTGTAGCTGTCTTGAGCCCAAAGATAATTTCTGATTCTGCATCTAGTTTCACAAAGATTTATAGTAGGCAATTATTGAGTTCCTTTTGCAGCTAAGTGTCCACCAGAAGACCAGTCATCGTGATACTCCATCAGAGCTAAACAGACAGGTTTCCCTAATCTTCTTCTCCTTCCAGGGTGACTTCCTCTGGAATATGCAGACCTCTACTCTCCTTCTAATGCATTGCCTGCCACCTCTGACTATGGCTTAAATGGACAAGTATCTTATCGAGGTTCCAGTTCTAACACTCGTGATTTTCTATAGCAGAGTTAAAAATGGGTGTTGCCACCGAATTTTGGTGTGTATCTCACCTTCCCAAATAGCTAGAACATCTCCTAGATCTATGGTGACCCAACATCTTGAGAAACATTCTCCTGCCGCCTTTAAAAGAGTTTGCAGTTGTCACTTCAAAACCCATGTGGAATAATTATGTGTGGTTCTTCTAATAATTAAAATAATAATAGCCTCCATTTGTTTGTGCTTTCAATGGGGCAGAATTTCCTTAGTGTCTTACAGACTTCACATTAATTATTCACAACAAATCTTAATGAGGTAACACTGTCTCATAGGTCCAACAACTGAGGACACTGAGGGAGTCAGTAATTTGCCCACACAGCTGGTGTTCTGGCTTGGATATGAGGATTCCCCCCAAAACCTCAGATGAGAGACCATGCAAGAAGCTTTAGAAGAGAAATGATTGTGTTGTGAGAGTCTTAACCCAATCAGCAAATGAGTACTCTGATAGGAATTAACTGAGTGGTAACTGAAGTGGTAGGATGTGGCTGGAGAAGGTAGGAATTCAGGGCATGGCTTTGGGTTATATATTTGTATCTAGCAAGGGGAGACCTCTCTCTCTGCTTCCTGATCACCATGATATAAGCTGCTTCCCTCTACCACACTCTCCTACCATGATGTTCAGCTCATCTGGAGGAATGCAGCTGGCCTTCTGTGGGCTAAGACCTCTGAAACTGTGAGCCCCTAAATAAACCTTTCCTCCCCTACAGGTGTTCTGGTTAGGTCCTTTTAGTCACAGAAGTGAAAAAGCTGACTAAAACAGCTGGTAAATGACAGAACCCAAGTTGGACATCAGGCAGGTCTGGCTAATTCCAAAACTGTGCTCTGAATTTATATGCTGGTCTCCCATGCTTTGGCACTGTTAGGGAGAGAAACGTTGTCATCTACAGTGCCCCCAGACACCTGGTAAATCCCTTTTATTGTGTCCTGGGGAAGAAAACCACTGATCCTTGAAGTTCTTCCTTGCTCAAGTCAGCATTCGGTCATCCAAAGATTACAAATCATTGCCCCTGGCAATGAATGAATCCTCCTCTAGGACCTTACAGGAGCCCCCACATTCCTCTCTCCATCTAAAGTCCAAAAGCACATACACAAATAAATTTCCCAGGACCTGTCCTGATATTTTAGAGTTTCTCAAAGTATCCTGTCAAAGCAAAGCCTGAATAGTATACATAGGTCTTCATCTAGAAACTATTAAAATTAAAACGTGTGTGTGTGTGTGTGTGTGTGTGTGTGTGTGTTAGGCAACATTTCTTCTAAAATCCCAAGTTCCTAAACAATTAAAACACATTTTTACCTTCTTTTGCATCTCCCAAAATATTCAGGATGCTGTATACTGCCAGCAGTTAATAAAAGTTCCTAAATATAAAGTACAATGAATGCATGCAGTGTTTGCTATGTAGATTTTGGCCAATGTTTAAAACAAAAATAAAACCAGTAAAGCACATGTACAATTTAGAATGCTTTTTTTCCTCTCATTTATGTTTTATGTTCTCCAGGGCCTGTGGTAATGCAAGGGCACATTTGGCATGGCTAAGGGAGATATTCAAAATAATTGAGAAAAGTGCTTTAAATGTCAATGTTTATTTCCTATATTAAATTCAAAATACATTCCACACAGTCCCATGCCAGCTGAACATATATGTTGAAAGTTGTATATTTAAAAAAAAAATAAATAACCCAAGATCACAGCAGTGACACCAAGGGTTTTTCTATGCCATATACTAAAGGCTTGAGACTTTAGGCTATGTTGTATTAAAAAAAAAAAAAGGCATGCTTTTGATTGTGTTCTCTTACCAAGTTTCCTATATCTCTTATAATTCTTGCCTTTTGCCACCTTTTCACGAGAGGAATACATACTATTAACAATAGCCAAATATGGAAGCAACCCAGGTGCTCATCAATGGATGAGTGGACAAAAAGAATGTGATCTATATGCACAATGGAATATTGCTTAATCATAAAGAAGAATGTTCTTTTGTCAATTACAGCAAAATGGATGGAACTGGAAGACATTACATTAAATTAAATAAGCCAGGTACAGAAAGACAAGTATTACCGATTCCCTCTCCTGTGTGAAAGTTTAAAAAAAAAAAAAAAACAAAGTCAACCTGAATATAGAACAGTGATAACTAGAGATTGGGGAAGGGGAGAGAGAGAGTGGATAAAAGGAGTCGGGGTTTGATCAGTACACACGGCAGACACATATTGATACATTTCACTGAATGTCATTAATATGTACAATTAATGCACATTAATCAAAAGTAAAAAGAGGAATAGATAATGGTTATCACTTTGTCCTTTGGACAATGAGGCCTGGCTCCTTCCCAACAAAATTAATTACTGAACCAACGGCTGATGCTGTCTTCACTAACCTCTTTTCTGTAATGACATATATCTTCGCTCTCTATAAAACGGGCACTGAGGCTCTGGCAACCTTGAAGACATTTCCTTACACGGGTGTCATGGGTCCCCTCAACACCCCGCTCATCAGCACTCTCTGGCTCTGTTCCTGTCTTGCTCTCCTCTCCTTTGTCCTTTCTTCCTCATCTACACTAGCTTAATGAAGATATAGCCACATTCAGGGGGTCTGTGGTTCCTATCGCTAAAGACCATCAAAGACAGTGGTATGTTTTTCAAGGGAAAATTAAAGGAGACAAAATTTTCAGCTACCATTTCAGTTGTAATTAATCAGCATGTGTAACTCTTGAGAAAACTACACTTTAAGAATCAAATAATTGGATTTTACTGTGAAATATATTTATTCTTCTTGCCTCACCCTACTTGGAAAAAATATCAAAATATATTTAGGTTTTATTATGATTCTTAAAATCCAACTTTCCAAGTGAATAAGGCATCTCTAGTCTTCATACCCATTTTATAAATTCATTTATCCATTCCTGTATTAATCGGACAGGCCATGTTTAAATAGAGGTGCGTAGAAACAAGGGAGTTTAAAATGAAAAACCAGGGATTGAGGATTTTAGATTATCAATTCAATAGTTCATCCCATGTTTCCAAATCTCCCCTGACAGTTGCTTGTTTGATTCCAACCACTTAATTTCCAAATTCCCTTCACATGTCAGGCACCTAGGCACTTATGAGAGCCCAGAGGTGGTGCACTTTGCCTGCTCAAAAGATTCTGTGGTCTCTCTCAAACACCACGACCAGCACACAAAATGCAATGTCTTCTTCTTCCTCCTCTTATTTTTTAAAATCTAAAGCTAACTTAAATTGAAAATTACAGAAGTGTTTGGTAACAGAGTTTCCTCAAATCATCAGATATCCCTGGGAAGCACCTCAACTCGGGAAATTATTCACTCACAGTCAGGTATATGCAGCCAACCTTTGATGACTTCCTCATTCCTTTCTTTCTCCCTTCTACTCCAAGGATCAAATTTCTCTTTCTGTATCAATAGTGATAACAATTCTGTGTCTCCTAGTTCTTAGGGTATCATTTAAAAAAAAAAAAGTAGATTGGTGGATTTAAAAATCATATATTTTAAATTGGTAGCAGGAATTAATTCTAGGATCTCTTCCCCAGAGAATTTAAACTCTCTCTTCCCTCCCCACTATGCTACTTCTGCACAGGTTTTTTTTGTTGTTGTTGTTTGTTTGTTTGTTTGTTTGTTTCCAGTGGTGATGCTGGCCCAGGGTCTTGTACATGTGAGGCAAGCACTCTACCAACTGAGCTATATCCCCAGCCCAGGTTTTCTTTTAAGGCCACATTTCAGTTTAACGGTTAAAAAATGAAAATGTACTTTCTATCTTCATTATAAAGAACTATAATACCAATGTTAAATTTTACGTTGTAGACAAATCTACACTAACCTGAATGGTTTTTCTTTTTACCTCGAATCTCTTCATCATTCCCTTCCACAATTATCTCCCTCAAGAAAATAAAGAGAAAAAGGAATAAAAAATAAAAATTAAAAAAACCTCTTTTTCTTCCTTCAAGTCTATTGACACTGGCAATTATTTCTTTTAACTTGTCTTTTTCTGCCTGACCCCTTCACTCTATAATCTTCATATCATTGTGTGTGGCCTCAGATTATTTTCAGCTACCTATTTTGAATAGCTTCACCTATGTTGCAAATACCTTGTATTCAACCCATCCAAAATATGATTAATTCTCTCTGCAATTTGTATACGGGGTAAAAATGGGAGCTCATAATCCACGTGAATCAAATGTATGAAATATGATATGTCAAAAGCTTTGTAATGTTTTGAACAACTGATAATAAAAAAATAAAAAACAAAATATAATTAATTCTCTCTCTGCCCTCTCTTGAACCTTTCTCCTCTGCCAACACCATTTTCCACACTATTCCCTGAGCAGACACCCCCAAATCAGCCTTGACTCTTCTAACTCTGTGTCATCAATTGCCAAGAACTACTTCTTACAATATTTTACAGCTATATTTTCAACTCCATATCCATTGTCATTCCTTAAGTCAGGTCTTCATATATTGCCATTTCTTTAAAGAGCTGCCTAACTGGTCTGATAACACCTAATCTTGATCTTTCATCTGTCCCAGAGGATCACCCTCCTTAATACCACCACACTGATCCTTCTTATCATAGCTGGCCCTACTTCTGAACTGTTACACCTACCTGAAAGTTAACAACAGCAATCATCAATATGCAGGTGGTGTTCTTGCTGTCACAAGCATGGTGCTAAGTGCCTTTTATCTCACCTAAGACTCACAATAACCCTGTGATACTTCACATTCTTATTTTACAAGCTTGCCAAAGGGCACACTAGGGTGCAAATCCAGGCAGCCTGACTCTGTACTTTACAGCTGTGCCCCGCTCCACACCCCTTCATGCCTCTATAATTGACACATCTGCCTTAAAGTCCCTTGCCTCTGTCTTCTAAAAACAATTTTGTTTCTTTTCTCAGACTTTGTTAAACAATCCCAAGCCCCACTCAGAGTTAACTTTTTGCTTTATTCACAGAGCATGTTTTGTAGCATCTATTTGACACTTATCTTAAACCAATGACAATATCAATCCCTTCCTCAACCTTTAACTGGTAACTTCTAGTGAGAAAATAGAAACTCTCAAGAAAACTCAAAATGAACTAAAGGTGGTACCATACATAGAGGGCTGAGCCTTGGAGGTGTGTCCGATTCTCTCTAAACCTTCAAATGGAAGGATGGAGAGATCATCAACAGCACAAGTGGTTGCTTTCTTCCCCTTTTCTATTTTCTCACTAGCAGTTACCAGAAGGTAGAAGGAGAATCCACGAGCAAGACTTAGTTCATAGCAGAAGGTGGAGGTAGATGGAATGAAGGAAGTGTGGAGGATACCTGCCAGCTATTCTTTAATAGCAATGCAGATGGTCATGCTCCTCAGATCAGAAGAGATGATCAGATTGACATTGATTTTACTAATACTATTTGAACCTAGTATTTACAAGCCTGCCACTTTCATTAGCTGTTAAGGGACAAAGGTCTGCCCTTCAAATATTTCCTTCTCATTCAAAATTGTATCTCTTTATGGATTTCTAAAGGTATTCAATGAAGAGAAAATGAACAAAGAAAGAACAAAGGTCACAAAGAACAAACAAGAAATAACAATTACACATAACTATTTTCACTAAATTCATTTCTTAAACAACTACAGCTAGTAGTACCATGCTAGATCCACTATATCAGTAACTAGACCCTAATAAGAAAAACCCACCTGTGTAAAATTAACATCAGTGGGAATTATTTTTGTCCTCAAATTCAGAGATAAAGAGAGTTTTCCATTTAGTGATTTCAGACAAAACTCATTTCCCTATAGGACTTCTTTGCAGAATCGTTGCTATTGGAGAATGACTCCCTGTCAGCATGAATAGAGAATAGCTGTGAGAACCAGAAGCATCTACCAGTCCAAGAGCCATGGCCCAACACACAATCCTGATGTTTACCCACCAAAAAGAACCCCAGAAACTGCATTGCTGACTCTACATCAAGAAATGATAATAATGATGATGCAGTAAAATTAAATAACACCCAAAAAATAAAATATTCAACATTTTTCTTAATATCTCAGACTTATTACTATTTGGCATGACAATAGGTTTTAAAGCACAATTAAAAAGAAAGTTCCAGGGATGCTCACTCTAATACTATTCCTTCAAGTAGTATCCTCTAATCTAGTTTCCATTTGGCCACTAGAATTTTCCAGCAAACCCTGGCTAAAGGAAAAACAGAAAAAAAAAGTGTAAAAAATATAAAAATATAATATAAAGAGAAAACTGTGGCTGCAATCAGATGTTAACAGCAGTGAAGAGGTGAATAACTGAATAAATGTGTCCATGAGTGATGCTGTGTCCATCTTCATACCTCTTGATGGATTTCCAGCACAGCAGAAGACTTCCTGACTGTGGTTACCGTGTGCAGCCTAGACATGGGAGAAAATGCAAATTAATATACATAAATATGTACACTAATATATCCATATATATGCATATTATATATATATACATACACACTCATGTCCCCTTGACTACTTTGAACACTCTGTGCACAAGACTTGAATTAGAATGAAAAATAATATTTCAATTTAGAATATTCAAAATCAAGGAATCTCTTGGGCAGAGCTTTCGAAAATCAAGATGCTTTTTTAACAGCATGTCTGGATTTCTCTAGAACAAAATCCGTTGCACATCTGCCTACCATTCCTCTGAGCCTTGGGACTGATCTATTAAAGGAGCATTCTTTGGAAACAGAGCACTGCAAATTAAAGTGGTCAAGGGAGATTAAATTATAATAACTATGCCAGAGTTCAGGACTTTGTTCTCCCTTGTTCTTTATCTTTGCTAAAATATTAGGAAAGTAAAATACGTCTATCCTTCACTGTCCTTCCCCATTGTGTCTTATGGATCTTTCTTTTCCATCTAAGACTGGTTCAGGATCTAATGACTCTTTCCTCTGTCACTGGCCATAAGTGGCCATAAGTCTTGGTGGAGATGGAGTCAAAGACCTATGACCACAGACAATTTTTCCTTTCTCAGTGTCTGTTTCACCAACATTCAACAATGACTGTGCATGAGATATGTGGGAGAATCAACCAAACAACTGAAGCTCAGGCCCAATCAGACAATGAAAAGCTGAATCTGCAGGTAGGGTCCAGGCCATAGCAGCTTTTCAAAGTTCCCCCGGTGTTTTGATCACACAGCTGTAGTGAAAATGCACTCTTTGCCTGAGACTACCTCTAAATACCTCGGTATGGGAATAATAATATTCAAAAAGGGGTCTCGCCACATATTATTCTTTTGGTTCATCTACTTCTACTAAAATCTCAGGGAATTCGATTTGAGAGCGGGAGTGCATAGGGATGGGATAAGTTTAATTTGTCATGAACTGTTAAAATCCCTCAAAATTTATTTCCACCATCTCATATTCTCTATGTTAGCTTTTTCATTTGAATTCAAAATTATTTATTTCCCAAGAAGATTTCTCCTTATCAGCAAATGTGTTTCAGAGCTCAGAAATAGAACAAGGATGTCAGTTAGTCCAGTTCAAATTTACTTAGTTGCACTAGCAGTAAGTTATCCAATCTGGATCGGCTTCATATCCCTTCATCTCATGCTATGGGTCTCCATAGTACTCACCTGCTTAACTTCCTAATAACTACAAAGATAAACAAGATTTTGTTTTATTCACTATAAAGATAAAAATAAATCTTCTGCCCTTCTGCTCCTCTCTCAAGCAGTCCCCCATTCATCCCAACTCTTCTAAAATCCGCCACTCAGCACATCTTCCACACTGCCTCCCTGAAGAGGCTTTGGCTTCTAGAAGCCATGGTCTCCTGGTTGCTTCAGCACCACTGCCTGCTACTCCAGGGGAAGCTGAAATTCCAGAGCAAGGAATGAGCCCTTGCCTTCCTCAGCAGAGCAATTTCTATATTTTGTATAAATGGCTAATGAGAACAACTGAAATGTGCTTAACCTTGATCGTGCTTGAATCTCAGTTTCCTCATCTGACAAGGATAAAGAATAACTTGGGCTATGGTGAACATAAAGCAAAAGATCTGGCACTGAGCAAAGACATCGTCTCCCTTCTTCCATTCCTGTGCCTGCCCAATGCCTATGCTCTTAGCTAGTGGTTGTGATGTCCCAAACAAAAGAATCATCTGCTGAGTGAATTTTTGGATCAATACCAGGTGGGACAGTACTCTCGGAATAGAATGGATTTGGTTCCGTGTAAGTAAGTTAAGAGTCATTGACACATAGTGATTGCTCCAGTTGACACAGTGAAGCATCTTGGTTGTTCCAGAATCAAAAGCAGAATCATTTTTCTCATATCTACCCACACAATCTCACACCTACAAATTGTTTTAGGAATTTTGATGGACAGAAAATAAAATTCTTCTTATCCTACTCCTGGACAATACACTCTAACCTTGAGGTGATAGCATATCCTAGTGGCTTGAACCCCTTTAGAATTTTCTAAAAGATTTTTTATTAAGATGGACCCAATATCTTTATTTATTTTATTTATTTTTATGTGGTGCTGAGGATCGAACCCATTGCCTCACGTGTGCGAGGCAAGCGCTCCACCGCTGAGCTATAACCCCAGCGCCACCCCCATAGGATTTAGAAACAAAGAGTGCATGGTTCATTTCTAGCTTCTGGGATTTTACCTGAAGTCTTCCAAAGACTTCTTCTTCGTTGCTTTCAAACCACCAGTCTGGCAACAAGCAAATTTGTAATCAATGACCTGGTAGATGATCGGATTGTACATCGCTGCAGATTTTGCAAGGAGGGTTGGCACCACAGAGAGCTGGATGGGAATGGAGTCTGGCCTTCCAAATGCTGACCACACAGAGACCACTGCATAAGGGATCCAGGCAATCAGGAAACCAGCACAAATCAACATCGCCACCTGACGAGAGAAAGCGATGAAGAAGAGAATGGAGAAACTTTGTAAGGAATGAGGACCTAAAATGAGAGGTGTGGAGGAGGAGCAAGTCACCTCTTCACTCCCCGGAAAACGTATCTACTGCAATGCATTTATCTTGTTCCTAGGAATTATTTCATGTGGACTTCTCAAAATTTCAGCTAGAAGAAGCTTTATCCACTTATCACCTCCTGTCCATTCTCCACTCTAGAATTTTAATGTACCCACAGACCCAAAGTATAACCCTTTAATAACTGTCAGGTTTCCCCTGCATTTTGAGTAAGAAATCATAATAAAAAAGACATCTGTTCTCCTGAGCTTTCCAGACTTTTCAACCCACATTCACTTAAAAACTTGACAGAAAATACATTCACCTTGATGAAATTTTAAATCATCCACATTTGCCTCGGGAAACTGGAAAACTCTGCCCAGGTTTGAAATTCTAATATGCATCTTCTTCAGAGGCTTCTATTAAATTTCATTTCTTTTGGCTCAGGTGTTGCTCAAGTTTGAGGCTCAGATTGTGGAAATTCACTAAGTATAAAGTAAAACACAGTCATCGCACCTCAGCTGAAGTGAGACTGTTGTACAAAATGAGACTTTTCCAGAAAGCACCTTTCTCTCACACAAAATTATAATTACCCAAAGGTCTCTTAACTTTCAGACCAAAGAATATTAGAGATACAGTTTCTCACCACGAGCAGTTCAGTTCCCTTAATAATGTAGTCCTAATCAGAATCCTACAACGACCTACCTGATTGCTATAAGTCAGCAGCTCACTCAGTTCAACAGAACTTTTTAGCAAATGCTTAGACAAAACACTATGCCAAGTGCTATGAGGAATACCAGTGAGGCTTCAAGCCTGTGTTGTCTCTCTCTAGAATACAGATAAATACAGTACAAGGCTGAATATGATTTAAGCTCCAGTTCAGAGGAGAACAAAATTGCATCCTATTCAGCAAATTATGAGGAGTTTCACAAAGGATGTGACACATAACCTGCACTTTGGCAAGTGGAAATAAAAGAATAAGAGTGAGACCAGCATGAGCAAAATCTTGGGGGAAAAAAACACACATGAATGAAGTTTGCACAGAAATTGTGAATGAACTGTAGATGTGGTGATGCATGCCTGTAATCCCAGCAACCTGAGAGGCTGAAGCAGGAGGATTACAAGTTTGAAGCCAGCCTCAGCAACTTAGTGAGGGCCTGTCTCAAAATAAAAAATAAAAAGTGCTGGGGTAGCTCAGTGGTAAAGCACCCTTAGGTTCAATTTCTAGTACTAAAAAGAAAGAAAAAAATGCTAGTGAGAAATTCACTTTGATATGGAAAAACAGCAAAGGGAGATGAGGCTAGGAAGAAAGATATGCACTCAGGGTTTTATATGTTACTGAACTTGAACTGAACACTTTGTGCTTTGAGGCAGTAGTAGGTTTTGAGCAGGAATTATGAGAGCTCTGCTTGAGATTAACCTATAGAATGAAATGTTGCATGGAGAAATAGAAGCCTAAATATCATTGTTTATTCATTTAATCAACAAGTATTATTAAGCATGTTTTGTGTAACGTTTATTGCAACGAACAAAGCAGATACATCCTGCCCTCATAGAATCTCCATTGTTAGCAGAGTTGTTGACCAACTGTAAGAACAAGAACTTAGAGTAAATTTCCTACACCAGAAAATACAGTCCAAAATTTGTTGTTTTTTTTTGTTTGTTTTGTTTTGTTTTATTTTTGAAACAGGGTCTCCCTAAGTTGCTCAGACTGACCTTGAACTTTGAATTCTCCTGCTTTGGCCTCCCAAGAAGCTAGGATCATAGGAACACACCATCATTCCCAGCTTTGGGCTTTATTTTAAAGTTGAACTATTTCAGAGAGAGAGAGCTAATTGAGAGAGTGCATTACCTTCAAAGTATTCCAATACTGTTATATACTAGAATATTCTTTCTGTAAGATAAATAATAAAACTATATTTGAAATCAGTCCTCTAATACACATCTGTCTTTTGTCACTTCATTTGAACTTATTTTCATCATCCCAGTTATCCTCTGCTTTAGCATTCCCAGCATAACTCCCCCTCCTAGGAGTTTTATAGAATTGCCGTCAAAGGCATCAGATGACTCTGACCAATCAGAGGACTACGTGCCCTTGGCTACAGCGCTATGAACAGGGAGCTTGATCATAATCATCTTGGGGGTTTTAGAAGTGAATGTCCCTTTTATCTCTGAGTTCCCTAAAAGCTTGGGATTATGTAAGAATGGACCTATCTGAGGCTGCTTCACTTCCCTCCTCCTTCTCTCTTCCCTTAATTTAAGGGGGGAAAAGTTATGTAAAAGATCAATGATAAGAGGCGAAACATAAAGTGCTTCATCGGTAATAAGTAAATTCATAGTATTTATGAATCCTGTTTTAGAAGGTTGATCAGAAATGTTTTACTTACAACAAAGTCATGTGTATGCATGCCTGTTTCATTATGCTTTAGTGGGGGCTAAAAGCTATTGTACATAGAAAATGGTCCAAGCCTCAGTCTATGACCTGCAGACTAGCCTGTCTGTTCACACCTCACACAGCTTGGTGGAGTATATAAGAATGACGCATGGCAAATCTGCTCTAAAGTCACAGACTCGGACTCCAAAATCTCAAAGCTCATTTCCAGAAATAAACTGCAGGGGAAAAAAAAAAAAAAACTTAATACTATCTGTTTTGCTCCACTTTGCAAATAGAGAATCTGAGTCCCCAGGAGATAAATCAAGTGAGCCCAGCATTCCTGTGTGTCCTGCAGCCTTGTTTAGTGCCCTGAGCCAAAGTTCTCACCTGTGTTTAACAGTTATAAACTCTTCAGATCTAATGCACACATATGGCTCCCTCTTCGGTTGAGTTTACTTTTCTATCAGTTAGGAGACGCTCACCCAAGAGAAATTTTCATTTGGTTTGGTTTGTCTGACTTTTGTTTGCAAATGGAATGGATGCCTCAAGGCTCCCAGCAAGGGCCTTCTTTTTCTAAATCTCCAAATAAACACTAACTATATAAATAAAGCTTGCCTTAGCATTTGTCTAGGGACTTAACACAGCCCCATCCTTGCTTCTTTGGTGAGTCATATGATGTTTCACAGTGTCTCAAAAGCTGATTTCTATGTTGCTGCCAAGTCATTGACAAAAAATAGATTGGTAGTTGGTCCAGAATATCTTCTACATTTTACATGATTTCTACTATTTTTGAATAGTATGCAGTGGAGGAAAAATTTCAAGCATTATCTCTTTTAAATGGACATAGGTGAATTACACATACACATAAATAAGAGCACATAGAAAATGAATCATTGTGGGTTTTCTGAATTTAGAATAAAGAACAATGACTAGAAATTAAGTTTAAAGATGAAAGGGGACAAAAGGCTAAATCTAAAAAGACAGTGAAGAATGTTATTTGTGTTTCTGAAGCTTCAAAGTTAATATGAGACCCATTCACTTTCTATAACCCTCTCATTTTAAAAATACACTCCACAATTATTAGGCATTTTAATATTAAAACCATTCTATGATATACTCCACAAAAGTTTCTAAAACTTTCCTGTTGTATTCCATTTTTCCCTACTTTTCTACTTGGTTGTAAATGGTTTTAATCTTTCCAACAGTTTGTTCCTCACTTTCCTCCATTCTAGGTACATCTTTATTTATATTTTCTAAAACTGACCGCCCAAATATCTTTAAGCCAGTTCAAACAAAAATATCTGTGCCTGTCAACTTTTCTAAGTTGTTTACTTTGTTTAATGACTTCACTTTCATCTCTGCCTTTTGGTTCACTGGCAAAGCAGTAGAACTTCAAATTCCTAAATTAGACAATTCTTGTGGGAGGAAAGTCACAGAATTCGTGTTTAGCTTATACAAAAGAATCACACATCTGCAGCCCAGTTCATTTTAAATACATCTTGCTGCACAGGACTAAGACAGTGTTTTCCAGCTCTAGTTCAGACTGGCATTAAGTGTCACAGTAGCAAAGTTGCACATAATCACTCAATTCCAGTGAATTGACCAATTAAAGCAATCATTGAATCATGGTTGAAAGTAAATTCTTCAAGTTACATATGACTCTGCCTCTGAGTCCAATACATTTGAACCTTTCTAGCACAAAGGTTTCTTAGGTCCTATCTTCCTTCAGTGGGTAAGGCAGTGTGGAAGAGTGGAAAAGTCACTGGCTGAGATACTTTGGGTCTCTCCACTAATCATCGTAAGTGGGACAAAATCCCTGAGGCTCTTTGAACATCCATTTCAGAAGGAGAGCCCAGTCCTCCCGCCAGGCTATTTCTCACAGTTATGAATAAGACTTAAGCTAAGGTTAAAAGCTGTAAGTTACCTTAAATAATGAAATAGAAGAGGACATGGAAATAATGTGAAAATAAAGGCTTGAAAGGAGAGCCAAAGTGATGTAATAAATTCCCCATTGATAACAAGATTGAATCACATTACAGAACCAGTTAGACAAGGGCATTCCAGTGACTAGGGGAAGATGAGGTCACCAGAAAAGAAATCACTACATCTGTACACTGAAGAGAAGGGGAAAGAGGTGGAGGTGACTGCTTTTAGGAAAGAATGTGATTGACAGGAGCGTAGGGATGAAAAGATTTGGATTTTCTATCTTGGGTCCAGCTAGCAAGTACATGGATTTGCTCCTGAGCAGTGAGAAAATGATACTCAAAGGTGGTAATAGGGTAATAAATTTAAGTTCTGAGACTGTTACCTTCCACATGTGGGACTGCCTGTCATTGAGTAATTCTATCAATAGTGAGTAGAAGGAGGAGAACTTGACAACTATCACATGCTTTCTTGGGCTCTCAATGTTCTCATGTATATAAAAATCATGGTGGTGATACTTGACTTTCACATTACCTTTTAAGAAATTAAAAATGCAACAATCTTAGCATGTTTTCTTTGACTTTTTTCCCCTTCCTTCTATTTAATCCATAGAACAACAATGAAAGCCAACTGTCCCAGACCCACCTCCACAAACTGATAAAGAAAAATTTTCTGAGATCTTTGTTGCACTGCCATATGTTAACCCTGGTTGCAATCCAAGCAGAAAATATGAATTCATCCTTCAAAAAAAAAGAACTCCACACTTTCCAGATGCAATTTTCTCAAATCTTAAAATAACACAACTCTAAAAACAAGCAAACGCTGCAATTGAAAAGAAAGGAGGCAAACCAGGTCACGTCTCTCATTGTGCCTGTGTTGGGAGTTCTGGTTCAAACTAAACACAATATACCATGACCAGGCAGTGGTTGGCTTAAAATAAAAAAAAAAAGAAAAGTAAGAAAGAAAGGAAAAAAAGAAAAGAACGAGAAAGTAATTTATAAATGTCTAGTTCAACATTATGTTCATTATGGGTGATCCAAGACCTTGAAGTGGGACTATATTTCTTGGAAGGAATAGATTTTCAGGTTGAGAAAACACTGGTTTTAGTAATAAAAGCCATCACCCATACCTTTAAGTAATCGAACCAATGTATCTATTTTCACAAAACCTCAGAGCTTTGAAATAATCAAGCTATCATTTAAATTCTCTCCCCCATCCTCTTTCATATATGAGAAAACTAAGACCCAGAAAGATTTACTAGTTTTCCCAAGGTGAATCTGTCAATATTCTGAGTTGCAAGAAAAATAGAAATTTATTTTGGCTGAGTGAGGCAGAAAGGGGATTTCTTTAAAGGATATTGGTTAATGCAGAGAGCATCACTGATAAGGTTAATGGATATCCAGCAAACAGAAATGATAATTAAAACCCTATGTGTGAACTGGTTTTGACACAGATACTACTGCTGCTGTATCTCTGAGCTCAGGAGAATGCTCCCTGCACTTGATTCTCTGTCACCAGGCTCCAGACAGGCTGATCTCTGGTGCCAGAGTACTTAGCTGTGCTCCAATCAAAGGGGCAGCCTATGAAGCAAATGATTGACTTTTTCAGTATTACTTAAGAGTTATATAACTCCTCCCCTTATCCTCAGCAAGACACAAAAGGTTGGCAATTGCTCAGACACAGAAGGGGTTCAACTACTGGGAACCAAAATAAATAACAAATGTCAATTATATCAGACCTTTCAGGCAGCTAGTGGTAAAGCTGGAATTGACTGCTAGTTTGAAATTCTTTTCATTATTAAGTGACTCTGATCTAATCCCCCTTTAACAAATATATAGTAAACACTTGCCATGTTTGAGACATTGTGTCCTCAGAACACAGAGTGATCAAAAAGACATGGTTTCTCCAGCAGGCCTTATTGACGAGTGGTAAAGATGAACATTGAATATATAAGCACAAAAATAAGTGTGTGATTTTAAATTAGTTTGAAAATTGACATGTTCCAAGAAGGAAATAGAGAGGTCATAATGAAACATCATAGTAGGAAGTCTTGAATTCAATTTTGGAAATGTGCCTCTGGGAAATGATATTTAAGAGCAACAAAGAAGAACAAAGGAAAGGAATTAATTAATTGGTTTAAAAAAAAAAAAAGAGCAATACAGTTCAGCTTTCCCACAAACTGCCCTGAGAATCCACACCAGGGAGTCCCCTGAACCCGAACCCTGGTTGATAGATAAAATTCGATGAGCAATAAAGGAGAGGAGCTTAATAGTTTAAGAGCTTTAAAAAGGCTTCACAATCAATGGGAAAGAACACAGAAAAAAAACAAAATGTCCCATAAGGTATAAAAGGAACAGAGGCACTCCAGCCAGGGGTCAAGGGACCTCTTAGCAGTGATCAAGGTGATTAAATAAACTTGGTTTATTCACTTAGGTATTCATTCAAGCAATCTGGATTAAATGTCTAGCAGGTGGCAGGCTGTAAGTTACAGAAGCAAATAAAATATGCAGCACCTGCCTTCACCCCACATCCTGTCTTGTGCAAAAGAGTGACAGACGCATGATTTGGTTTGACAAGTGTGGCTAAAGGAAGGGCTCTTATGGCCCATAGTAGGGGGGCAGTTTCTGGTAGAAATAAGAGATACCAAGAGAAGACCAGATACCTACAAATTCTGTATACAAATGATCTGATGTCATAGGTGACCAACATATGTTAAATGAATTAACATGAAGTAGAAACATACATGGCATAATGATATTGGGGAAAATCGATCTATACTTCTCGTATTGCCTTCACTGTCACTCCACTATTCCCCTCATTAAATCGGCAGCAAGAGTGTTCACTGCATTGTGTGAGTATTTTTACAAGCAGAAATAACCAAAGAAACAAGACATTCATTTCTCAACTTCTCAGTTTCAGAACAGAAATTTGAAATTTATGGAGAGAAAATAGTTGAGAGTAAAGGGTTTTGAGCATGGCGGGTGGGGGGAATGACTTTTGTGAAGTCAAAATTCTAAAAGACACCAGGCATTACTCATGAACAATTTAGAGGATGTGCCTATAAGAGCCAATTTTCCACTCTGACAGAAAAAGAGCCTACAGCTCAGAGGCAAAGGAGAACATGAGAGAAGCTGGTAACTGACCTTGAGATGGTGTCCTGAACCCACCTTACAGAGTTAAGCACCAAGTTAATAAGTGACAACAACCAGACCAGGAGCTCCAAAACATTGGCACCATGGCATTTTAAAAAATCTCTCTGGAGCTCATAGATTGCTGTGGGAAAAGCAGGGAGATCCCTCGGTGTGAGTGTGTGTGTGTGTGTGTGTGTGTGTGCACTCACATGTGTAAAATACTTCTGTTTATAGTCTGTGAAATTTCAGACTGCTACAAGTTTAGTGAAATTAGCATTCTTTAAGCATTAATTAGAAGCAAGCTACAAAGTAGAGAAAGGTTTCTAGATGAATGCCAATTTTTAGCTTGACAAGATCAGACCAGCAGAAAGCAGTCCCAGATAATAACTCAGCTAGAAATAATTAGAGTACACAGAGAACTAAATGATTTTGATCCCTGAATCCAGGAAGATAGCCTTTAAGTAATAAGCTTTTAGACCAAGCTGTTCTGAAGATCAGAAGCACCACGTGAACAAGCAAATTGTTAATCCTGAGCAGTAGTTGAATGGAGGAAAGACTTCAGAGACTATGAAAAGACCCAGCATGAAGTTGTTTCTTCTTATATTACCTACTAGGAGAAATTGAGGTCAAAATTGAGTAGTAATTGAAAATGGTGTGAATTTAGGACAAAAGTCACAACAGAAAGTTTTATTTTTCAATATGGCCGAATTTTGATGTAAATTTTTCCAAAAAGATTAATTAGAAACATTTTATATTTAGGATATTAAAATATATTTTATATACCAACAAAGCACAGACATGTTACATATACTATTATGTAGTATGTGTTAGAAGAATAAACTACATATAGAAAAAAATCATTTATAAATATGCATATGTGAATATATACGTCTACACTTTTCATTTAACATCCATTTAGTTATCAGGTCTAGGGTAAGCCTAATCATTTGATAAACATAGTTCAAGTCAAGTAGAATGACAACAAGAAATCAAATTAAATCCTATGTACCAGTCAATACCTCATATATGCAGTGAGCTTTAGAAGTATCGGCTGAACAAGCTATCCACCCCTCAAGAATACACAGTGGTTTAGATAAGCAATGATAACCTTCAGAAGCACACAAGCAGTGGGAATTCTAGGTTTTCCCAGTCCCAACATTCCCAATCCTCTGGGTCCTTTGAAGGTTTAATTGATCAGAAAGCACCTCTTTAAATTGTGTCTGCAATTACCTTGGTGAGCTTCATTTCCAGAACGTGGCTGCTGTGGATCCGACTGTCAAAATGAGCCACCTCCTTGGAAGAGGACTTAACCTTGGCAATGATCTTCACATAGGAGAACACGATCACAGCGGTAGGGAGCAACAGGCAGAAGAAGAGGATGTTCAGGATGAAAACCTGGCCCCCAACTGAGGCCTGCGCCAGCCACCAGTCCAGGGTGCACGAGGTTCCGAAGGGCTCAGGTGCGTAGTCCCCCAGGCCCACCAGGGGCATGGTGGTCCAGAAGGAAGCATAGGCCCAGATGACTGCCAGGCAGATGAAGGCGTGCTTTCTCTTCAGCCAAACCCCTGGAGGCGGAAGAAGAGCATTACCCACATGGAATCTGCCCTGCACCCAGATACCTCCCCTCGATATGTCAAATTCCACCTCCAAAGATTTATTCCATTGAATTCTGGGAGACGTGGGCAGATAACTGAAGCCTGAGGGAGAGTGGAGTGAAGCAGGGAAAGTTCCAGAGCTTGGGCCTTTCTCCAGGAGAGTGACACTTTGAAGAGAATTCACAGGGAAGACTTTCTCTAGGCACCTGGGAGCTTTGGGAGGGAGAAGTGGCAAAGGCTTGGAAATGGGGTGAGTAAAAATACCAGAGGATACTGACAATGGAGGACCTCGTGAGAACAGTTCTCATCTCCACGGCCGTGTTAGTGGGTCATCCAATGATCCAAGGGAGAATCCTTCAGGGGAGGTGTGCAATCACAAAGCATCGCTTGTGTCTTTAAAATACCTTTCCTCTTGAAAGTTTTTGTGTCTCTAATCTCCTTTGCCTTCCTAAGAACTCCTTGAGTGGGGATTGGTGCATCATGCTTATGACACTGCGGTGTAAGGCTAAAGTGGATGACTGTGCATGGTAATTCGTGGATCAGATTTGTACCCCCTGGACTGAATCTTCAAACTCTTCCCACAATGGTGGTATTCACACAGCCACGGTGGGAGAGGTAGAAAATCTAAGCAGGTTGCATTGTGTTCTGCAAAAGTAATTATGTGAAAATATTTTCATAAGAATAAAAAAAAGAGCTGTTTTTCGGTACTGGCTTCTTAACTAAAAGAAAATGGCAAGAGGAAGAAATAGTACAGTCATCTAAAAAAGGCTATAAAATACTAATGCACTAATGATCATTTCCTGAAGTTCAACACAACCAGCAAAGACAAGCCAGCCTGACTTCATGCTGCAGCCGCCACGGAAAATGACCTTCATATCCCACTCATCACCTTGGAGGAAGAGGGCCTGGGAAGTGGCTCCTTACTGCTTTGGTTTTGTAGTAGTGAAGAAGAAATATCAAAGTGTATTCAATAAAAGCTAAATTCTTTCTTTAACATAAACTCGGGATCTGCCTCTGCTTAGGGTAGTGTGAGAACGACAAGGTTGTTTCTAGTGTTTGAATGCTCATGTAACCTTTCCAGATATCCAGTGTTCCTGACAGTAAAATAAAGGAAATAAGACTATATTGTTTACATGTTTCAATAAAGGTTAAATAAAATAATGTAAGGAGCTTGCTTTGCAAACTATGAAGCACTACATTAGCACAAATTTTTACTCCTCTGTAAATGTGTCTTGTTTAGCACTAATAATAAATATAACAATGTTTCTGTGATCTATTGTCTCCTTTTTTAAAAAAATGCATGGCATTTTTGTATCATGAAGTACAAATTTCTCAAGCCCAACCAGATAAGGGTAGCAATCATGTAGCCACAAAATATGTCAGCGCTTGATTATCCGTTATAACAGATAAAAACATTGGCAGGGAGAACCACATATATTCATGGGAATGTGCAGAGGCATACGGATAAGCATTCATGATTAGGGTTACTTAAGTGAGGTGTTTCATACTTACATTCGAATATGGTGAAAGGCTGTCAAGTACAGGAGGGAGTAGATTAGTAGATTGGTTCTGTGTTGCTCCAGAAGTCAGAACTAGGACCAATGGGTGGAGGTTACTGGGAGGCAGTTTTGTCTCAATATAAGGAATAACATTGTAACAATGAGAGCAGACCAATCAGAGAATGGGCTGCCTTGTGCAGTAGTAAGCTCCCCGTCACTGGTCACTGGAATTATTCAAGAAGAGGCCAAGTGGTCATCTCTCAGGGATGCCTTAAAGCAGTCTACCACATTTCATGGGAGAAAGGTCTACATGTCCCCAAGCGACCTTCTAATTCCAACATTCTAGGACACTGTGTGGAGGGTTTAATAGTGCATCAGATTAAATGATGAAACCATATGACTGAGGTTAAACCTTAAAGAAGCTGGAAAATAGACACAGTTCCCATACTGCCGTGATCCTGGCGGTGGGCAGCAGCATCCCTTTAGTAGACAAAAAGCTTAAACTCAAGAAAATACTTAAAAACAGAGACATCAAGGTTTAGTATTCCTCAAGTACTCCCAGGAAGTTCAAGTTTCTGCCTCCTTGTCTATAAAGTTTATAGTTAAACTTAAAATCTGCTTGGCATAACAAAAAATAATAATAATAAGCTTGTGGAAAGAATTAGACTCTGATGTCATCCAGAATATGTATAATGGTATTTTTTTATTTTATCATAAATTTTGATTCAAGCTGCTTCTGTTGGATGTTGTAAATGTTCAGAAAAGAAGACGCAATTAAAAAAAAAAAAAAGAAGTAGGTACTTTATCATGAAGATGGTGGTTCATACCCCCTGTTCCCATGCATGGTCTTTCTGGTGTCTAGGGGCTGTAAATTGCTAAAATAGGAAGGGAAATTCTGCCCTAATGAAATTTCCAGGTCTACTTGATCTTCTCCACCTCAGTCTCCTGGCCATACTCTGTCCCCATGTCACAACCACTCTAACAGGTTGACAACAAAATAGCTTCATACAGAGAGCATCAGAATTACTCCCTAGTTACACTTGGTTCTCAGTATTAACATAAATGCCCAAAGCTTCTTTTTCAGGTTCAAAAAAATTCCCAAAACCACAAGAAGCAAAAATGCTACAAATTATTTTTAAACAGTAAATGGTCTTTAATCTTTAAGGCAGGGGAACCCTTAGGCTCTGCAAACTTATTCACTGCTGTCTCTCCACTCACTAATTCTCTTAAGCTGTCATTTTTCTAGCTACCAATACCTCCCCCCAATTAAAAAAAAACTGCTAAGTGGTATATCTGTATTTCTGTATGTGTGTCCTTTCATACAGCAATAGCAGCATGTCTCTCTAGACCTGAAGGTGAATTTTGGAATTCCTTATCTCCAAAATCACAGGGAGCCTGGAACCTAAAGCAAAAATAGGAGTAGCTCTTCTTATCATTACAGTTCCTATGTAGGGAATCGGCTAACCTTGCAGACCTCAGGCATTTTTGTTTGTTTATTTGCACTACAAAATATGGTAGAAGCTTACAGACTATACAAGAAAGTGATCATTTTTAAAAGCACTGCAACCAAACACCAGACATTATTTTAAAGTAGTATTAAAAGAAACCCATAAAAAAAATAAAAAGTAAAAAAAATAAAAGAAACCCATGTTGGCACAGGTCAAATCTTTAAACATGTGTTAGAATGAGATAGGCTATAAATAGAAATACTCTTGGTCTCTGAGGTTATTAGTAATCTTTATTTATTAACTGTATAAAATATGTACAGCTATGACATTCAATGCAGCTAACTTTGACTCGCAGGGAAGGAGAAACCTTCCAACTTACCATAAGATAAGTAGCAGATTTTCAGGTAACGATCCAGGCTAACAGCTGTCATGGTAATGAGGCTCCCACAGCCAAAGAAAAATCCAGCCCATCCATACCAACGGCAGCCAATCCAGCCGAACACCCAGCGGTGACAGAAGCAAGAGATGATGGTGAATGGCTTGCCTACAACTGAAGCACCAAGCAGGCTGTCAAGGGAAGTTCCTTGTAGTTATTTTCCTACCTCCTCAAATCGCATGGCTCCACTTCACTGAAGCACAGGTGCATATGTAAACACACACTCGTGCCACACACATGCTTCATTATGCAGAACTTCTAGATTAATAAAATGCTGGCTGCCCAGAGAGGTTTTCCAATATCCCAATAGCCAAACATAGTGAAAGAATACAGAAGGAATTTTCTAAAGTAATTCTAACTACAAAGAACTGTCTCAAAGATACTCAGCTTTAGGAAACACAGAGATGTGATGTCAGTGGGCAGTGCCAGCCATCTGGTCCTTTTTAATATTTTGCTGAATTGGCTCAGCAATTTGAAAATCAAGGGGAAAGGGCCATAGATTCACAGTGAAATATACAAAAGAAAATGTTCTCGAGGACAAATTTGCTATACTGATTTCCCCTCAAGAGTTCATTACTTTTCTTCCCTCCAAAGTTAGACATCCAAGCTGGAGTGATCAAGATGCAGTCATAGGAACCAGGTTTTATACAATACACTTTGCCACTCATTCTGCCACGGCCAACTCTGTAGAGATGGAGGTTCAACAAAACAGTGAGCCCATGAGATGGGATCCAAACCCAATACTGACATACTTACATAATCAAGTAATACTGGACCAGGCTACCTATAATACATACTTCTTGGCAGTCAAAATTCAAGGCTCATTCAACTTCCAAAATTCAAGGCTTTGAGAAATTTTTTTAATTTGCAAAAATCTGAAAAGTAACTAACATTGTGTGCCATAGCATTTCCAAATGTGTTCACTCAGAAACATATTTATTTTATATTAATTATTCCCTAGGAAATACTACTCCACAAATTACAAATTATGCTGTCATTTAACCAGGAAGAATTCCTTAAAATAATGTATCAGGTCTGGACTAAGGAATAATTTGATGCAAGGAATCTTTAACTCAAGTGTATGCCATATAGACATCCAATCAGAATAGCTGATTCCCTCTGTTATTTAAAGAACTGATGATAGGATATGATATAGACTCATGATTTTCTAATAATGATGATTTTTAACTCATTTATTTATTTTTGCTTAGTTTATTACAATGTCCAGGATTTCTGGTACAATGTTGAATAGAAGTAATGATAGTAGGTGTCCATGTATTGTGATGAATTTTGAAAGAAATATTTCTAATGTTAAATCATTGAGTGTGACATTTGTCCTAGCTTGTATCAGCCAAGGATCTCTGTTCTCATTCTGGTTTGTTAAGAATTTTTTTTTAACCAGAAATAGATGTTATGTTTTTATTAAATGATCTTTCTGCATTTTCTGAGGTGACCATAAATTTTTTGTTCTCATTTAATCTGTTAATGTAGTCTATTAATAGATATATAATGTTGACACAAATTTACATTCTTGGGACAAATGCTATGTTTTAAAATTTTTTTTTAATTTTTTTTAGGTGTTGATGGACCTTTGTTTTATTCATTTATATGCAATGCTGAGAATCGAACCCAGTGCCTCGAATATGCTAGGCAAGCACTCTGCTACTGAGCCATAACCCTAGCCCCAAATGCCATTTTTTTAAATAAAAACTTTGTGTACACAAAGTTGTCTACCAATGGAGAAAGGAAGAGATGAAGAAAGGAAGAATGAAGAAAAAATATTTTTTTAAAAAAAAAGGAAGCAAAATAGTGATTTTCATCCACCTCCATCTCTTCCACCTAGAGGGCATCATAAGTGTGTTGGACTTGAAAAAGGGAAGTTGGTTCCTAACACCCATAGGCAAGTTAAGCCCTTAGGGAAGGGAAAGCAAGAGGTTTTCTACCACACATAGCCCTGTTCAGAGAAAGGATGGGTTCTGAGGCTGTAACTTCAGAAGGGAAGGTTGAATTGATGCTGAAGAGTAGGAAAGTACACCAGAAGCAGAAAGTATGAATTCCATGCACATTGTAAGAATAGTGTAAATGATTTTCTAAAAAAAAAAAAAAAAAAAAGAACTTGTCCTTTTAATGTCCTTTTTTTTGCTTATATTATTTCTTTGTGCTTTTTATCAATGAATAGAACATACTTTATTCAGTCATAGTATTTAATCTTTAGCCTCCTCCAAAAGACTCTGCCGGGGAAGCTCTTCACATTCTATATCTGACCTACATATGAAAAGAAAACTGAGTGATATGCACAGCCTGCAGGTGCTAGCACACAAACCACCCCCCAAGTCCCCATCTTAGTGTAGAAAGGTATGCCAGAGTTCCTTTTAGTTCAGTCAATTGTCAAGTGTTTACTCAGCCTTCTGTAAGCTAGACAGGTCTTCTCTAGGTGTCTAGATAGCGCCACTATCCCACTTACTGGACTGGGCATCCTTTCACAAAAGCCTTTTAATCCTGGTTAATCTAACCCCATGGCCAGTGAAGTATTACAGTGTAAAAGAGCTATTCTTTTCTTCAACAAATAATCACACAGCACCTACTATGTAACAAGTACAAAGCAAGATGCTGGAGGGCCAGGTGGAGATCATGACTGACAAATTGATTTTCTAATGGGGAGAGCAAATGAAAAAACAAATTTGTTTTACGTGATTTGGTATGATGGAATGATAAGTGGTGATTAGTGATGTGAAGATAAATAGAATAAGGAGAGAGACAGAAAGATGCCTAAATCAATGGGAGAGAATTTGAACAGATATGTAGAGGGAGAAGATTTCAGGCAGAAGAGAAAACAAACTCAAAGACTTGGGGGAGAGGAGCCAGCTGGGTGGGTGCCAGAGGCAGCAAAAGAAAAGTGAAAAAGATCCAATGCAGTGTAATTAGCATCTGTTGTATCTATGGACCCCTATTAGTCCAAGTCTCCGGCTTCTTTCTGGAGTGGAGTTTTTGATGAGCTTCAGATAGGTTATCTAGAATGTTGATCTCTCCTCTAGGATACATCCCAAACTGACTGATGTTGGAAGCACTGGAGAAGGTGTTTTCTTTTGCTTCAAATGTCAATGTCCTAGATGTTCTGAATTTATCTGGAGTGATCCCAGACATCACCATACTTTCAACTCCCCAGGTTAATTTAATATATATTCACAACTGAAAGACATTGGAACTTAAGACAACACATGTTAATTGCATAGATGCAATACATCTGGTCTTTAGGCTATGCCTCTGCAAGGTGCTTATAATGGAATACAGCAGGGAAAAAAACAGACAAAAAAATTAAGATTTATTGGAAAAGCAAACATACTATAAATGTTCAGAATAATCTAGGTTAATCAGGGAAAGCTGTCACATGAAAGAAAGTGCTTTCTGATGAATCACTCCAAAGACATGAAGAGTAATGGAATGATTTGCGCAATTTTAGAGCAGACTTGCTTGGCTGGAAGCATTTTTGGTGTATCAGACCAATTAAGGTCATTTTTATTCAAACCTAGTCTAATTCAGCCTTAAGCATGAGTCTGGTTTTATTCACTGGTGAAGGATGTAGTTGAAATGACAGATTTCATTCAGGCATTTTGTGTTCAGAACCAGGGAGAAAACCTTCTGAGACCAGCAGGCTGAGCTGGCTGGGAAGCTACCATTCCTGTTGTAGCACCGCCATCGTGTGGCAAGAGTCAAAATGGCAGCCATTGTGCAGCCTCGAAAATTCCCAGGGGGCAGTTCATCCTATTTTCACAGAAAGGAGGGACCCGGCACATCATGTACTCTTAATGTATAAGTTCATTTACTATGAGAGCTCATGTTACTCCAGCCTGTCCTTAATGTGTAAAACCTTCCCAAATAACCAAAACCAAAAAACTCCCAATAAGAAAGGAACATATCTACTGCTAAGTAATAGTGATTCAACAGGTAAAGGTTTATTATTGAGTCTTGCTTTTAGAAACTGGTAGCAGCAGAAAAGAAAAAAAAAACACTTTTGAAGAAAGAAACATTATCAGAAAACATTTTAAAAGGAAACTGATGATGAAAAACTGCTAAAAGGTTTCTAGAGAGAAGAAGGAACCAAAGGAGTGGGGTTCAAATGCTATTTCCCCAACAAGCTAAGACACAAAACTCAATAGCAGATATTGGGATTCAAGGAAATATTATTGTACAAATAGAATTTTATAGAAGTAAGCAACAAGATGTGACTTATCCAAAGTCATTCATATTTTTAAAACCCTTATGGTTAAAGAAAAATTTTATTCCAACTCCTCCTTTTGGGGAATATCAAAGAATAAAAAAAATAGGATAGAAAACATGGTTCTCAATTTTGTCCATGTGTTAACTTCCCTGGAGATTCTAATTTTAAACATCCAAATGCCAAGGAAATATTTTCAATCACTTAAATTATAATTTCTGTTATGGAATCTATCCATGAGGTTTTTTTGTTTTGTTTTGTTTTGTTTTTAAGTTCCCCTAAGTGATGTTTTTGTGCAGCCAACATTGAGAATCATGGAACCAGAAGCTTCCTGTACTTGCAATCAGAACCGAAGTCACAATTAAATATACCATCAGCAGGGCAGCTCTTTCTATAATCACCTCTCATTTACCCTTCAAGATCCCTCCCCTTCAGTGTTCATTTTATCCAAACTTCCATAAGTTTGGATAAGGGTGAGAGGAGTGTAATGGGCCCCAAAGAGTGACCCGAAGTCTGCCCATCAGTTTCTGAATTCTGAATAAACCCAGTACACCTTGAGACTAAGGTAGAGTGTACTATTGCAAATTGAACCCTCAGCATCTGAAATGCCTGGCACATAGAAAATACCCAATAAATGATTTTCCTAGCCAGATAGCATACCATTGACAATCACAAGTACTGTGACTGATTTGCAATTGGAAAGCAGAAGTAGGTCCAGGTGAAGAGTGATCTCGCCGTCAATGAGTGTTCAGAATGGGGACTAGGTTAAACCCACAACGAGGAAACAACATGATTGTGTTACCTGAAATCCCCAGGTCACAGACGGCTAGGTTGATGGTCATTATTTCAGCAGGTCTCAGCTTCTTCTTTCGTCTAGAAGACATATAAAGGACATACCCATTTCCAAATGTGGACAGAATCCCTACAAAGAAAAATAAAAAAATCCCATCGTTAAAACTAATACTTAGAGTTCACTTGGATATGAAACACTTCTCAATTTCAAAAATGGACACCACAGATTTAGAGGGTAATGAGAGGACTCTAAACAAAAAATCTAAATTAAGAAGATGAAATAAAAAAGCATGAGTTGTGAGTAAACAGGTATGGGATGGGTTGCCTCCTAAGGGAAAGGAGGCAGGGATTATAAGACTGAACTTACCCAGAACAAGGAACGGCTAACTTCCCAGGTAGGCTCAGGAGGGTGTGGGAATCCCAATGGTCAGTTCTTGTACTGGCCCCCAGGATGGGGCATTTTCCTCAGCCATTTTACAGATTATTGGCTTTATAAAGCCTCGCCCTCTAGCAAGTGGGATCAACCCCTTGGCCTTTGATAAATTCTGAAGATGAAGTCAACCATCGGAGATGACTTCAGTGTCACTGCAGGCTCCCGAGGGAGCACCAGCATGCAGGAGAGGCAGGGACTAGAGAAGTCTAGCATGACCCCCTGCAAGCAAAGGGTCATTTTCTGGAGAAAGATCCCAGGACGGACTCCTGAGGAGACTAGGACGCTGAGTGTCTGGCAGACAGGACAGCCTTCCGCTGCTCCTGGACTAGATATCAAGGGTCAGTGGGTGACGAATGATAACATGGGCACTCCCCTCCCACCAAGGGGAGAGACAGTGACCCTCAACCCACCAAACCTAGCGACAATGGCAGAAATGTGTACCCACTTTTTATATCCTTTTATTAATGACTAATTGACTTTCACATTACAATGAAAAACTGTTCAAAAAAAGTTCTTACAAACCCAGTTTAAATCCAAAAAGACCCAATCCCTACTGACTTTAAGAAAAGAATACACCTACTTCCATAGCTTAACATGTAGAGTAGATTTCCTCAGGAATTCTTGCTTCATAGTGTAGCTGTGTATAAATGAGAATCTGGTACAGCTGCCTTTAGTAGTAAGGAATAAGGAGAGTATTAACAGGAGAAACCCAGATTTTTCTATTTTAATTTCTATTTTAATTTCTCCACCACAATTCATTTGTGGGGGCAAGGAAATAAATGTGTGTCTCTGCTGATGGTATGAAACCACCAGGAACTGACTGCATTCTGCTCTTAGATTTCTGACTCTCTGGAGTCAGTGCTGCTTCATGATTTATTGAGACCTCTTAAGCTCTCTTATAGCAGAAGAGGAGAAAAATAGAAGAGATGATGGAGATCTAGAGCAAACCAACTACAATGATACTCCTGCCTCATTAAAGAAAACCATTTAGCAAGGAACACTGGGAAAGCAAAGTGTAAAAATACAGCCTGAAAAATTATCAAGCTAATTCCAGATCTGTTGTATCGAAAATGAGATTTAAAATCTTAAGTGTGTATGTGCATTCCATACGCAAGGCTCATTGGAACACCCTTTGTCATCTACACCTTGTTGGAGAATATTTTTCTTTTCTTAAATTTTCTTTACCAACCCTATTTCATAGGGTTTTACCCAGTGCCCAAAGCATGACCAGAAATAATCAATTCTCTCTTAGATACATGTAATTATTTCCACAGGCAATCTTATCTGCAGATGAGTGTTAAGAAAAAAGCAAATGTATTTTTAATACTAATCAAAGGAAAACAAGTTTTTGAAGAACCATGGAGTGGTATCAAAATCCTTGATATTTTATGAATTTTTAAAAATTTCTTAGATAGCCAGTTAATAAACTCGGCATTTACATAAAAAGTGGAGAGTGGAAAATGGGTCTTTATTTCTCCTGCATTCCAAACTCAAATTTATATTTTGTTTCATTGACTCCCCTAAAACTCCTAGTATTGAACAAAGATCACTAAGAATCTTATTCATTTCACCCTGGCTCTTTGAGAGGAATCTGGACACATCCACATAACCTCTCCTAAGAGAAGGTGACAATATGGGCCGAGCCCAAGACCTGGGTCTAGAAGGAATCCAAACCCCTCCAGATGGCCCTTGCCTCACCTCAGTGACTCTTGTGTGACACATTTGTCTGCACCCCTTTTGCTGGGAACTCTTTTTGGACCTGATTTTCTAGCTCCATCCCAACTTTCCTTGTTTGATATGGTCCTGACTTCCCTTCTAACCTCACATGCAGCAAGTGGAACACTCTCCTCAGTTTCTCTGGTACTCACCCTGGTTGCCTCGCTCCCTGCAATCCTTCATTCTAAGAGTAGAATAGACTAATATTCCTCCCTATAATGTATTGTCCACAGAGATTGCACCTTTTCATTCATTCCTTGCAATCAATTGGAATAAATTGAATGCAATTTCTGGGACACTTACTTGTCTGCCTTTTGTAGTCATTGAAAATGTACATTTAATAGAAATGTGATGTGAATTTTACTACAAAATAATCTTTGTCGCAGCAGAGTGTTCAGAATTTTATTCACTGATCTCTACCCATCAACTTCAGAGTAGCAAAGTGTGGGTGCTCAGTCCATATTTGTGTTTGAAAGGACATGGGATTGCACTTGGAAGAAATAGAATTTGAGTAAAAGACTAACAAGCAATGAAAACAAGAACCCAGGGAATCACTTTGATGTATAATTTCTGATCCAATCTCATAGATTCCTTTTGCCTCAAGCACTGACCATAAAGGGATCTTGAGAAATTTCTAATGAGTTTTCTAATTTTAGGAATTAAATGAAATTCTTTGCCAGGAATAAATAGATGAGAGAAGAAAAGGAAGAGAAAAAGAAAGGGAGGGAGGGAACAAGGAAGGGAGGAACAGAGTAAGGGAGAGAGAAAGAAACAAAGTAGAGGAGAGAGGAGAGTAAGCAGGCTTGACCCAACATCTGAAAAGATTAAAGGCAGATAAACCTAGAGACGTAACCCACCTGCACACTGGTCACCCAAATTTAAGAATGAGATTTTAAATTTAAGAATAGTATTGTGATTAAATCCTAATTGTCTACATTAGTGCAGTCCAATAGATATATAATGTAAACCAGAAATGTGAGACACATATGTATTCTAGATTTTTACTTTAAGCAAGATAAAAAATATAGAGATAAATTGAATTTAATACCTTAATATTTAAGTTACTCTGATCTATCCAAGATACTGTGGTTTCATTATGCATTCAATTTTTCAAAATTGACAATGACATATTTTTACACGATTCTTTCTGGTACTAAGACTTCAGTATGCCGTATGTGTCTATACTACAGCATGACTCATTTGGAAGTCAACAGTTCACATGCTCAGGAACCATATATGGCCACTGCTTTGGATAGTATAGAAGCAGATGTACCCCTGTGTGGATTATGCACACAAAGTTTTTGATCAAAGCTGACTTCCCATTTATCACCAGCACATTTTCTCAATGCTCATCATAGTGATGTGATGGGACTTTAAATTTAGATGAAGTAAATGCAATATGTCTATTGTCACTATATTTCCCTGGTCCAAATTTTCCTCGATTGTAAGAAGAGGAAGCTGAACTAGATGATTTCTAAGATTCATTCTTAGTCTAAAATTTTCTAATTGTATCAAAATTATCTTTTAAAAAGTTAAAGAAAATCTTTAAATAATAGAATATCATCTCTTTTTATTATTCAGAAGATAAACTTACTAGCAAAGAAACCAGAATGAAATACTGTCTCAAGATAAACAATTTTTCTATAAAATTCTTTGGATTATCACTGAAACATTTATCCCTAATAACGTCAGTAATAGTCATTTCTATGAAACATTTATTGCATGCCACAATGCCACCCCACCTTCCCATTCTTTAACTCCACTAAAATACCCGGATAAATATTGAAATCATTTTTGCAAAATCCACATATCAGCCTGTGAACTTTTAAAAACAGTCTTTGCATAGAAGAATTAAGAATGCTTACCAATTATTGTCAGGTAAAAGCCAGCCACTAAATCCGCTTCCCAGGAAAGTTTGGAAGCAAAGGGATCCTCATCCCGAAGGTAGTGTGGCAGGTGCTCATCCTGGGGCAGGGCAGTGTGGTTTAATGCCATGCTGTTCTCAAGCCACCAGGGATCTGAAAAGCAATTTGGTAAAGATCTCAACAGACCTGAATAAGTCAACTTGAATCATCTCAGGATCTTGCTTCCTGTTTGAAAACAAAAAGCATGTTTCCAGCATCATGCATGATACTGTAGTAAATACCTGGTGAAATGGTTAGCATTTTTCTTCAATGATCTCAGTGTGTCAGTGCTTAGTTATTCAGTTAGCAGCTTCCTCATGCTACCTTCTGAGCCATTTCACCTTATAATAGGTTGCAATCCAAACAACTGGTGTATTGGTTCTCAGACATTTTTGCAAAGGTCTGAATTATGAAAACAGATTGTATAGAGTGTGGAGGTGACAAGTACTTTTTAGTTTGTCATAATATAATAATTTTTAATTATTTAAATTGCCCAGAAATGCATTGCCATTCACTATATGTTCAGTGATCTTTAGACTTTTGCCACAGAAAGAAATAAAGCATTGAGTACAAATGAACATGGATGCTTTATTGCATTGAGAGCTGGGAGACTGTGCCGAATGGCCTAGAATTGGGGGAGCATGTAACAAATAATTCAATCTTGATTGTAATACACAGATATCACAATCCATTGGAAGATTTGATTCTAGAGTTTACTAACAAAAAGAAACTTAATTATTTCTCACAATCACATCTTCAATCCAAGATAAAAATCTTGAGTTATAAGGAACTCCCAAAACAGTTCTTTGTACTGTTTCTTTTGAAATTTGATTTTTTACAAAGTCTTTGATACAAACTTTGCAAAAATAAAAGTCACATGGTATTCCTCACAATGAAAACCTAGACTTTGGTATGTTGTTCCTGAGATAAAACATGCTGCTGATGTCACCACTTCCTTCAGGACAATTGTTATTTGATTTGAAAGAAGTACTAATGATATTTCAACCACTTTTGAACTTGCTTGTTTCCAACTGAACCAGTAGATGTCGCTGTTCAGCCCTTTGGGAAGTGATTTGGAACAAAATAGATCCGCCAGCAAGTAAAACAGTGTCCCTCACAGCTGGTGACAGAGTAATCAGCACATACCAAAGGATGCAATTCAGCCTCTCCATAGAGACAGATTTCAGCCCTTTCTAGCTGCCAGTTTACAACCAGGACTTTTAAACAGATAGAGGCCAGTTGACTAAAGCTGCTGTCTGCTTCCATGCACAGTCCAAGGACAGTCACATGGGTAATGTGCCTTCACACTCCTTCTCCCTGGAGCTATAGGAAACCACAGGAGAAGTCGATGGCTGCCAACCCCACACCATCAGGCCTGTCCCAAGTCCAAGCTTATCTTTATATTTCAAGATCTGATTTCTCTCCTGGTAAATTCACTCATCACAGATTCTCACTATTCAATCCTGTCCTCCACTTTAGATTTGGAATCATAAGATGAGGGTCTGAATCAGCTTCGACATTCACCCTCTGATCTTGAACAGATTAAACTCTCTGATCTACAACTATTTCTGTAAAATGGGTACTTCTTAACATTCTTACCCATCGCTCACACTTCCTATAGAACGACAGGATAACATATGTGAAAGCACATTGCAAATTAGGGTACCAAGGGGTCCTGAACAGTTTTTACACACTGGGACACTTACTTTTCCCAAACTTTTCATCCATCAGGATATAGTTATTGTAAGACAGATTTTTTTTAGGGTCCCATGCTGAATGAATGTATGTATGTGTATTAACTCAAGTTTTTACTGAATATCTACTTAAACACAGGACATGAGACAGAGAGAGAGAGAGAGGTCTACCTTGTCACCTAGACTTAAGGAACATAATTATCACTCTGGACAGACAAATGATACAACTAATGGTCAGGAAAAAAATAACAATAGCACAAGAATATAAACAATGAAATGTTGCCTTATTTAGTTTTAGATAATAATTTTCTTAATCGAGGAAATAATTGTTATCTGAGAAATTAACGTGTATGTAGTTGTGTGTGCACAATCTCAGGAATGGTCCTTCTTATAGCTGGAGGTCCCCAGGGCCTTTCACAGCCTAAAGCTCAATATGTTGATGTTGATAATGGTGATATAAAATTTCAGGTGTACCCCAAAAGGCTTTAATAAGCTATGGGAACTGTGGATTTTAATTGCAGTGGGGGAATGACATGTACTAAGATTGGGAGGTACAAAGCATGGAAGGGATGAGGGAAGACTGGCTCCACAGAGATAGAGTCCACGAAGGTGCAGGACGACCTCCACCTTGGATTGGCAAATGAGATCTTGCTCTGTAGAGCCTCAGATGCCTGGCAGAATAGTTGTATTGACATAAGTTATGTGGGCTTGGTTTTTCTAGATGCACAGGATAAATTTGTGCTGTTTTCAAGTTTGTCAATAAAAGATTTCAGTTCTTTTCTAAAAGACAAATGAAATACTTCCCTGAGAACAAGTAAAAGATATAGAGAACCTTAAATATATGGCTATTTGGGAACTTGTGCCTCTTCCTCATCCTTTCTCAAGTTCATTTCCAACTCCTGCCATTGCACATATTTTCCCCTACATGAATTCACTTAGTTCTGCCTCTTATTTACCTCTACATATCTGGGAAAACTTTCAATACACAAATAAAGACATTAAGACTAAGGAGTAAGCACAGGATGGTTATCATTATTTTGCTGTAGGGCTATTTCTCCCCAATGCAGACTTAGACTTTTTGTTAAAAGCAGGCTGTAACAATGTTAATATAATATGTCCTTCTGCACAACACCCCTAACTGTACTATTTAATAAATGCAATATACAATTATGAATACATTCATTCAGAGATCTGTTTTAGGGGATTCCTTTCTCCATATTGAATGGGTCTGAGCTGCCTCATTGTGTAGATAAATTAAGGTCACTTAGTTGTTTCCTTCCCTCTTTTTCCTCCTGTGTTTGAAGACTGCCTATAAGCCATTGTGTCCCACTCTGTTTTCCCAGGGGTGAAGGACAATCATCGCCACACACCCCAGTTCCCTGGGATGGCATCCCATGACCACAGCCAATGGTTCTCAGCCAGTGGCACATCTGAATCACGTATACTTTTATTTTTGCTTTGTTGTATATTATTATTGTTGTTGTTTTGTGTTCTTTAAATATCATGATCTGGGCCCAATTTCCAGAAACCGTGACATCTAAAAAACATCATTTCCAAGAGGATCTGACAGTATGCACAATTCGCCAAATTTTGCAACCATGAAAGCTTTCTTTAAAACAAACAACAGAAAATGTTCTTTTTAGTTATACATGACAATAGAGTCTATTTTGACGTATTTATACAAAAGTGGAGAACTTCCTTTTCTTGCACAATATTTCATAAGAATAGTGCTTGGAAAGACTGTTTATGTGGGGAAATGCTGTGTTAGTAAGATTGTGCTAAAGAATAAAGAATTAAAAGAATACATTCTTGATTTGGAATTCTAAAAGCACATTGCATTTAGAGTAACTTTAAATTGGAAGAAGGGAGTTTGGGGTTGCTGTTGAAATACTGCACAACACCAAAAGTGCTTTCTTGAAAACCCAGATATTTCAGGGGAGGTATAAGAGATTTGAGGGAAAATATTCTTTCTGGAAAAGGAGAATAAAATAAATAACTTTACAAGATTACCCCTGAAATTATGATCCATGCAAAGTTACAAATTAAACATCTTGGTGCAAATTACAAGTGATCATTCATGTTAGCATTATCCTTTCAGCAATAAAATAAATTCCCCTGCTCTCATTCCACTAATCAATGGTCCTTTGACTGTGAATAAAGTCTCCTGAAACTGGTTTTATAACAGTTTATTACAGAAAAGCTAAAAACATTCCCAGTTGTCATCATACATAAAAGTTTTAAATGAGTTACAAGAATTAACCTTAAAAAAATCCTCTATGATTCCACATTTAAATATTAAAGGATAACTTGAGGCACCATCAGACCCATATTCTCATATCCAATCTGAAAGGACTACACAACTACTCTGTCGCAGATACAAGAAAGAGAATGGCAAAGGGTCACCTCCAAGGAGAAAATAAACATAAGTTAATGTCAAGGGAAAGAGTTCAGTTCTGTTCAACTTTATCAAATCATAAAAAATATTAAGCAATGAATTTTTCCTTTGACCCACTAAATGTTCTCTGATATAAAACAGGAAATAGCAAAAAGCATGGCACCATGGCTAAACACTTGTGTAGTAGGACCAAAAGTGTCCTGCTCCAAGTGGTCTTCCTCCTTGGCCTGTCACCAGTTTTGTTTTAAAGCATTGTCACTATAAAATTTCCTTCTAAGGATGAATTTTCTGAGAACATAAAACTTGAATTCATTAGCATCAGTGAAAACTTTAACATAAGGAGTTTGGAGTTTATGAAAGTTACTACTTGGTACCTCACAGAAGGCAGCCAGCCTGAAAATAGGTGTGACAGGTTATGCCTACCAGGCACAGAGGAAGAGCAGGAAACATGGTAGTCCACAGGTATCTTTGAAACAACACGAAGGTCACAAAATAACGAAGACACACTTTAGAGTTAGGGAAAGTGTGTCAAATAAAGATACGTAACCACAGTTGAAATATTCAAGCTCTAGGGATATTTTATCCCTAGTACTTAGTGCTAAGCCTGATAAATGCAAGCAAGAAAACTGTTTATTAGGAATTTGGAGGTGGTAAAGCTAGTCTACATAGGCCTTTGTCTATTGGTGATTGCCCATTTTTACTACTGTCCTGAGGGATTACTCACAATAAACCAACAATAACAACAAAAGGATTTGTGGTCAGATGTATTTTCACATAAACTCCAGAAACTGGTGCCACAACTGAGGCTAGTTAGGAGCCAAGAACCTGGGCATAAACTTTCTTTCGCCTCAACCCTATGGAGTCAGCCCTGGTACAGGTCCTGGTAATATACAAGAAGGGCCTTTTGAAAGAATGGGAGGGGCAGCTTTTCTCTGGTCCTTTAGTCTCTCCCCTTCCACTTCTAGTTTTTCCTTTCCCATCTGAGCCCCAAAGTGGTTCCACGCATTTCCTCTTTCCTGCAAATTGTTCTCTTA